GCCACCTGACCACCTTCTCCAACCCTCACCATTGCTCAAGGCTCTCTTAATACATTTATGAGGAGGTAAGTACAGAAAAAAAGAGAGATCAGCTTATGGCTGACTCAGGCCTGAAATCCTTGCCTTGGATAATGGGGAGAAGGCCATCTTTTTGAAAGAGAAGATCAGGAATATTTCAGTTACAATACTCTCCTGACACATTTTCACCATCCCAAACTCCACCCAGTGTTCTACAGAACTATTTATGAAACTTTTAAAATCTTGACCTAGGCTAGGCATGGTGGCTCACGACTTTAATTCCAGCACTTTGGGAGGTTGAGGCAAGCAGATCACTCAAGCTCAAGAGTTTGAGACCAGCCTGGCCAACATGGCAAAAAACCCCATCTCTAATAAAACTACGAAAAATTATCCAGGTGTGGTGGCATATGCCTGTAGTCCCAGCTACTCGGGAGGCTGAAGTGGGAGAATCACCTGAGCCCACGGAGTCAAGGCTGCAGTGAGCTGGAATTGCACCACTGCACTCCAGCCTGGGCAACAAAGTGAGACCCTGTTTCAAAAAATAAATAAATAGAGAAATAAATAAAAATAATTTTTAAAGAATTTTAAAAATTAAAAAAATCTCAACTTACAGTAAGAATTTACATTTTACATCATAGTACATGGATCACATAAACACACATAAGACTTATATGTATACATAAATAAATATATATAACTAAAAAGTTTCATGAAACAATACCTTTACTATGGTATAATAAAAATAATATAAAATACCTTTGCTATGAAAAAGATAATATAAAATATGATTTTGCTAAGAGCCTTATGCAATCTGATATATGCCATTATTTTTTTGTTTTAGAAAAAGGAAGTTGGTTCCAACCCACTAAATTGATTTTTAGTCCTCACTAGTGGGTCATGCTTGAAAATCACTACTTTCAAGTTTTCTCTGATTTTTTATAGCAATTCCATATGGGGTATTTGTTTTGATTCCTCATTTAGCTCCCATCTTTGAGCCAGTGAATCTTTTCATATGTACATTGATTTTGCCGCATTTGCATTTGATCAGCCCTACTCAAGAGGTCAGTGCTTACTCAGATTTGGGAGCTGGGATGGGTTCTGAAATTCCTCATTGGAATCTTTCATATGCTGATGCCAGACTGCAGAAAGGGCTTAGATTTCCTGTGGCTTTTCTTTGGGTGAGAGGTGCAGTGAGCAGCAGGGAAGGTGCACCATTTCCCAGCATCCAAGCTCTCAGGGGAGCCTTGGACCTTTTGAAGGGATGTTTGTAGGTGACCGCCTCCTATTGGCTGAACGAGGTAGCCATGTCTTAACTGCTGTAACTGTCCACTGAAGGAGCATTTCCATCCCAGCTGCACATGCCAAGACTAAGCCAGGGGCAAGACCGATGGAGATCTCCACGCTGAATGGTCCCCAGCATCGGGTCACTGTCCAGCATTACCAGTTGTTCCCACTCAAAGCAAACCCCTCCAGAATCTCCAGATGTGGCAAGAACAGCACCTCCCTGATGATGGGCTCTGCCCTTCCACCCAGCGTCCTGCACATCCACCTGAGACATCCACTGAGACTTCTCAGTGTTTCTGGCATACGCTGAGCAACCCTCTCTAGTTTACAAGACTGACATAGAGTTGTCCTTATTTCAACAGGAATTCAAAAGAAGAACTTGAAGTAAATTCCTAATTTCAAGCTGCCTTCCTAGCTAACCAAAACTCCAAGTTCTTGGAACTATTTGTTTATTTTGCCCCAGTGCCTATTTTCTCCCCATGTTTATGAGCATGTTGCTATTCACAATGAATTGCTTTTTAATAGCCAAATGTAACCTATATATGAAAATGTATTACCAACTCAAATACACAATACAAATGTATACATGCATTTTTTTGAGATGGAGTCTCCCTCTGTCACCCAGGCTGGAGTGCACTGGCATGATCTTGGCTCACTGCAGTCTCCGCCTCCTGGGTTCAAGCGATTCTCCTGCCTCAGCCTCTTGAGTAGCTGGGATTACAGGCACGTGCCACCACACCTGGCTAATTTTCGAATTTTTAGTACAAACAGGGTTTCATCATGTTGGCCAGGCTGATCAGGAACTCCTGACCTCAAGTGATCTGCCCGCCTCGGCCTCTCAAACTGCTGGGATTACAGGCGTGAGCCACTGTGCCCAGCCTGCACAATACAAATTTAAGGTATTACAAGTTGAGTTCCCTGATTCAAAAATCTGACATCCAAAATGCTCCAAAATTTGAAAATTTTTAAGCACCCACATGACACTCAAAGGAGATGCTCACTGGAGACTTTGGATGTTGGATTTTCAGATTGGAGATGCTGAAGCGAGGCTAAGAATATAATGCAAATATTGCAAAATCCATAAAAATGCGAAACCCAAAACACTTCTAGTTCCAAACATTTTGGATAAAAGATATTCAACCTGTATTGCTATTGTTAAAGCTGTTATTGTTGATGTTGTTCATTTATTTATACAATAAACATTTTCTGAGATTTGTTGTGTGCCAGGCACTTATGATACAAAGGATGAAGATAGTCCTTTACAACCTACTGGAGAAGATAGATGTGTAAATGGATAATATTCCTAGTGTGGGAAGTTTCATAAGAAAGGTTTAAATAAAGTACCCCCTTCTAAAGTGACTTTACAAATGGCCACATGAGGAGCTAACTCATGAGCTAGGGCTTGAAAGCTGAATGAGCGTTTTGAGGTGAAGAGACCCTTCTGTATTTGGGTCAAAGCAAATGTCTTCAGGGCAGTGGAGCCTGGAGCATGAGCAGAAAGGAGAGAAATGAATAGCCAATTCAGGCCAATTAGGGAATGAGGACCTTCTCCTACTGGTGAATAGATTTCTTCTCTTGCTTGCTTGCTTGCTTGCTTGCTTGCTTGCTTGCTTGCTTGCTTTCCTTCCTCCCTCCCTCCCTCCCTCCCTCCCTCCCTTCCTTCTTTCTTTCTCTGAGAAGAAGTCTGGCGCTGTTGCCCAGGCTAGAGTGCCGTGGCAGGATCTCAGCTCACCACAACCTCTGCCTCCTGGGTTCAAGCGATTCTCCTGCCTCAGCCTCCAGAGTAGCTGGGATTACAGGCACATTCCATCATGCTTGGGTAATTTTTGGTATTTTTAATAGAGACGGGCTTTCACCATGTTAGCCAGGCTGGTCTCAAACTACCTTCCTCAGGTGATCCACACACCTTGGCCTCCCGAAGTGCTGGGATTACAGGCGTGAGCCACTGTGCTGGCCAGTAGATTTCAATTCAAAGTGTACCTCCCTCCCTCTCACTCCTATACCCCTGGGCCACTGCTGGGAAACAGAAAGTTGGAGGGGTTGACAAAAGGGCAGGTCTCAAGGTCCTGGTCTGCCTCTGCCAAAATAATTCTGCCTTAACTGATTATATATGAGTTTTCATGATAGATTTTAATTCTAAAAAGGTTTCCATGAATACAAAAAAATAGAAAATAATAATTCTATAGTTAATTGCATCCAATGGAGATTTTTTTTACCCTATGGATATATGACCATCTTTCTGTTTAGGAAACTTAAAGTATTTATTGAGGCATGCCACAAAGCCAGTAAGAGCATGGATTTTGCAGTCAGACAGCCTGGGTTTGGGTCCTGGGAATGTCTAGCTGAGTGGTCCTGTGCAAGCCTCCTCACCTCTCGGTTTGGGAATATACTCCCTAAGCTCCAGGTTGTTGTAAGGTTTAAATGAAATGAGATACGTGAATATTTTAGCGTGGTGCCTGGGGCATGAAGAGTGGCTAGGAAATGGTTGGGGTACTAAGTTTTATTAAAAAGACTCACTGGAGATTGAATAAATGAATAGTAGGGGCTTCGAGGGTCTGACCCACCTGACGGCTCATGCCCACGCCATATCTGCAGCAGGGGAGGTGCCTTCTACTATGCTCATAAATGTTGACCATCACTTAACTTCGGGGTAAAGAAGGAGAACAGTGAGGAGGAAAAAGACCGAATGGTCTTCTTCTTCCAGGGAAAACTGGAGAAATAGGAAGGGGAGTCACAGAGATGGCAGCTCCCAGGCTGCTTCCAGGAACCCGGTGGGGGCTTGAACTGGCCTCCTGGGACAAAGGGGTTGTCTTTGTGTCGCTCAGCCTGAAGTGGGACGATTTCACCTGACAACGGCAGGAGGAGCAGATGCTCCCCTGTATTCCCCAGGGAACCTCTATTCTTGTGCTGTTTCCACTATCAGACCTATACCCTTACTACCACAACCCCAAAGATAGCACTTCGTAACCATATATACGTACACATACTTCCCCCGTTTATGTAGCTTAATTTACCTAAAGCAAGACACTGAAAATGCCTAGACGGGTTTGTATAAGCAGACAGGTTTGGTCCTACCTCATTCTCCAGCTATAGAAAGCAAACTTGCTATGGACCAAAAAAGAAAAAAACAAACAAAAAACAAAAAACACCAATCCTGGGACCTACCAATGCAGGAATTAGTCACAGGACCCTTATCAAAAAAGCAAGCAGAATGAACTCTTTTCCCATGGTCAGTCTGCAGAGATGCCCACTCACTGTCCCCACTTTGGAGAAAAGGAGTCTGGCCAGGCAGCAGAGAAGCCTCCATCAGGTGCCTGTGGCCTTTCTCTCTCCCGCTGCCTTCCTTTCCTCCACCTCCTTCACACCCCATTACCAAGGATGAGATTAGGCTGAAAAGTCAGAAATCTCAGGACTAAATGATCCCCATGCTGCAGAGCCAGGTCAAGCAATATCCCTCTGCCCACCCTGGCCTTCTGAAGCTGCTTCCTTCTGTACCTAACTGTGTGACATGGTGACACAGAGATTCCTACCAACACAATCCTGGCTTCTGCTCCTGCCCCTTACCCCAGCACCACTTTCAAATATGAAGTTACATCCTAGCAACCAAGACCCTCCCCATTCAGGTCAGAGAGACCAGCCTCCTCCCTCTGGTAACAGCCACCTGGACAGAGCAGTTGCCTGATAAGACATTCACTCACCTGGTGCCCACCTACCTCCCTATGCACTGTCCCCCAGGGCTGCCGCCTCCCTTGCTCCTCTCTCCAGCTGCCCAGCAGTGATTGCAGCACCACTTATTCTCGGACAGCCTGTGGCCCAGGCCTGGGTCAGAGCCGGCAAGGATTGAGAAATGGACGCTCAGTTCTCAGATGGAGGCCAGCCTTTGAGTCAGATCCCAGGCTCCGATAGTTGAGATGCTGTGAGTAGGACACAATATTCACCACCTGCTCTGGACAGATGACTCAGGACAAATGTGTCCCACCTGGCATGGATTTGCTCGAAGACTCCCGATCTGAGCCATCTGACTGCTCCACGTGAAAAGGCTTGATCCAAAAAGGGGGACAGCCAGTGCTGAGAAGCTCAGCCTCGGAACAAGGTCCACCATCTGCTGGGCTGGCCGGCAACACCCAGGAGGCAAACCCAGTGCAGAGCCACAGAACCATAGTGAAGTTCCTTGGTCCAGCCCAGCTGCCCCTGCCTTCTTTGGACAACACAGAAACGACTAGGAGAGCAGAAAGATAGCAAACATGACTCGGTGCCTACAATGTGCCTGGCACACTGCTAGGAGCTTTCCATAAACCTCATCACATGCTGGGAGCTATGGCACATGCCTATAATCCCAGCTACTCAGGAGGCTGAGGCAGAAGGATCAGTTGAGCCGGGAGGTTCAAGACCAGCCTGGGCAAACCATAGCGAGAACCCATCTCAAATTATATAAAAATTTAATAAAAAGAGAAAAAAAAGTCACATACAATCCTGCCATCAATCTGGTAAATATATCACCTACTTTACAGACAAAGCCACTGCACAAACGTTCATTAAACACCTACTGTGTGCCATGCAATTTCCCCAAGGTCACATAGTTAGCAAGTTAGCAAGCCAAAATCCACCTGTCTCCAAAGCCCAGGCATTTTCCATAGCATCTCATTTCCTGTCTGTGCCACCCTATCCCAAAAGCAACAGACTGGCTCTCAGAAGCTTACGTAAATCAGTGGTCCTCAAGCCAGCTGCATCAGCAGCATCTGCTAGAAATGCAAGCTCTCAGGCCCTGGCCTAGACCTCCTGAAGCAGCACCTCTGGACATGGAGCCCAGCACTCTGTTTTCACAAAGCCTCCAGGTGATTTTGGAGCGTGCTCAAGTGTGACAGCCCATGACCTAATGTATACAGAGCATGTTGAAAATTGCAGCATAAAAGAATGAGGCACTTTTGTGTGTGTCCTGTTGGCATTACTGTCATGAGACTAGAGTGCCTTTCCCCTACGTAGGCCCTTGGAAAATCTAATCGTAGGGTGGCATTTAACCCATCTGCCCCCCAAAGAGCATCCCACACATCTCTCCTAAGCTCAGTCTCTGTGAGCCGTGTGTATGTGCTAGCCTGAGGTTTTTGTATGGACCTCTCTTCTGAAGAATGGAATGTTTCCCAATGCTCAGCACCAAATGTTTCAGGGCTTCCTGGGGGCTTTAATGAGGGTGTAGGTGCAACCTGTAGGAAGCCCTTGAAATTCCATGCAAGGCTGCGAAGATCTAGCCACTGCTGCTGGAGAACCCAGGCCCACGGTCGCAAGGGAAGCATGGGAGGAGGGAGTACTTTATCTGGGGATAAAGCTGCCTTTGTCAGCAGGCACAGGGGACATTGTAGGGCTCAGTCTGGAGTGCAGTGAAGAAATTTCTAAATTGCAAGGAGTTAGCGCCTCTGTCAGTGTCGCCTGCTCAGCTCACACCCACAATCTCTCTCACAATGGCCCGGGTGCGGTGGGGCCAGGACAGACATCAGGTCCCACTTCCATCTTGCTCTGGCAGAGAGGCTGAGGAGCAATTTAGCAACCCAGGGCTATGGAGGCTGGCCTTGCCCTTCTTGGATCCTGAGGCCTGGGAGGGCCCCATAGCCTCCCTCCTCCACTAAGTCTAAGTTCTCTCTTGTCATCGGTACCTGAATCCAGTTCCTGCCTCTCCCTCTTTTTTCAGAAGATCTGTTCTTTCTCACTCTCAGAAGGTAATTATTCCAAAGTGTAGCTGAGACTTGGCCCTGATTTTTCCTAATACAGGGTGGTTTGTGCTTCAAGGTGGAAATTTTATCACCCCTGTCCCCTTCAGGACATTCTGCAGAAGAAGAAGAGTCTCCACCCTGCCCAGCGCTCCACAGTCCAGCTCACTGCAAGCCAGAAGAGAAAGGGAGGAAGACGCAGCTGAGAGAGCCCCGCCCTGGATAGAACCAGGAAGTTCAAGCACCACTTCAAGCTCAACCAAGAGCTTCCTATGCAATCTTGGTAATTCGCAGCCTTAGTGTGCTACGATCAAAAGTAGATGAAATTAATTTTCCGCCAGAAGAAATAAGAAGCTTCTACTGCACAGTGTTACTGAGAGAATGAGGCAATAGAGGTGGAAGCATGCTGTCAACAGCTAACCAAGCGGAAGCCTGCTCACCTTGTTGGCCTTCCAGCCCACGGAGGGGAGAAATCTGTTGAACAAGTAATTCTGATGCTTGCTAAAGTTCCATAACCAATAACGTGCATTTCCTTCTAATTCTCCTCTTTTTTAATTACAAAATTTTATTTCCAAAAGCAAATTTTTAATTATGTAAATTTTTAATTCTGGAAATTTTAATTACTAAATTAAAATTACAAATTTTAAAAAATTAATTTAAAAATTTTTTATTTTAAAAATTCTAATTTAATTTTTTAAAATTAAAATTACAAGTTTAAATTTAATTTAAAAAATTAAAATTATAAATATTTTTAGTTTCAAAATTTTAATTATAAATGTAATATATATTTGTTGTGGCAGGTAAAAACATTCAGAAGGCAAAAAGAAAGTGTATCCTTAAAACGACATAACAGGGTCATCTCCTATTCTGTTCAAACAATGGCAAAATAAAGAGCTTAGAATCAGAGCAATAAGCCCCAGCTTCTGTACTAAGTGGCTCTGTCAACTGCAAGTCCTTTTACCTTGCTGAGTCTCAGTTTCCACGTCCACAAAATGGAAACAATAACTCAACAATCTGACAGGGTTACTCAGAGGTCTGAGCAAGGAGCTGTCTCGCAGTCTATAAAATGCCTTGGGAATTCTTTATGCCGTACACTTTCGGTCATGCGAACTGTATTATCATGATGCAGAATATAATTTAACAATTTTAACTAGTAACGTAACATCACGACATGATGATAATAAATTCTCTTCGCATTTAGCACTTTCAACTTAGAAAGATGGTTGAGGCTAAAACTTGACGATTTTATTGTATGTCCCCACTTACGGATGCAAACACTGAGACTCAGAGAAGTTACATGTCCAAAAAGTGCGCATCCAAGGCTACGCAGTCAGAAGCCATTGGTCCCTTGATTCCCGCTCCCGGGGTCTCTTCTCCTCTTTCCCTGGCCCACAGCAACGTATAGATTTAAACCAAAGGTTTTAACTTCATACAAAAACTCTAGCTGACTTTCATCTAGGCCATGCTGCCCTCTTTCTGGCCTTTTTTTCTTTCAAACTGTCCAATGGGCTTGCATCCTTTCAAAGTAATATTCCATCACTAAGGTACTATACAACTAAAACAAGCAACTGAAGCCAGCCCACAGGCAAATATACCACACACGTGCCAACAACTCCCAAATTCACTTCTCCAGCCTTGGACTTCTTGAATTCTGACTCTTTTTTCCTACCACTTGCTTAACATCTTCAGCTGGGGTTTAACTTGCATTTCGAAAGTAACACTGCCTGGCTCTTATTCAGTGAGGCAAAAAAAAAAAAGAAAAGAAAAGAAAAAGAAACACTGCCAAATACTACTCTTGATTTCCCCCTAATAAAATGTTTCTTCCCTAAACTTCCACATTTTGGTAGTTGTCACTAGCATCCATCAATTTCCCAAGCCAAAATCCTCAATATCAAGGTGGGAAGAACATAGACTCTGAAGCCAAAATTCCTGGGTTCATCTCGCAGGTCTGTCCCTGCCCAAATGCATGATCATAAGCAAGCAAAGAGGCACATGTCTGTGGACTGTTTTTGTCATCTATAGGACGGCTAGTGCACTAACATCTACCTCACAAGGTTTGTTTAGGACTAAATGTGGTAATACTTGTGAGGTTCTTAGAATAGTTCCTGCCAGAATAAGCCCTCTGTGAGCTTTTATTCATCTTGATCCCTCTGTCTCTCTGACCTTCCGCATCACATCCAATTTATCAGTGATTCTCGTTGGCTCTATCCCCAGAAGCTATCCCACTTTCTTTCTGCTTCTCTCCGTCTTCACTGCTGCCACCCTCCTCTTACCAGTGCCTCTTGCCTGATTATGGCTTTCACCTTCTAACTGGGATTCTTGTTCCTACCTAGACCTTCATAATCCATTTTTCACATAATAGCAGGTAGGCTTTTTGAAAATATAAATTGGATCATGACATTCGCCAGCAAAAAATTTGCAAGGGCTTTGAATTACTTTTAAAAACTGTTTTTTGTTTGTTTGTTTGTTTTTGAGACAGCATCTTGCTCTATGGCCCAGGCTGCAGTGTAGTGGTAAGATCATAGCTAACTGCAGCCTTAAACTCCTGGCTCAAGCAATCCTCCAGCCTCAGCCTCCCGAGTAGCTAGGATAACAAGCACATGCCACCACATTTGGCTATTTTTTTTTTTTCCTGTAGAGACATGGTCTCTCTATGTTGCCCAGACTAGTCTCGAACTCCTGGCCTCAAGCAATCCTCCTTCCTTGGCCTCCCAAAGTGCTGGGATTATAGGCATGAGCCACTGCACCCAACCACTTTTTTAAAAATTTAATAAACTTTACTGTTCTAAGCAGTTTTAGATTTACAGAAACGTTGCACAGAAAGTACAGAACTCCCAAATACTGATCTCCCTCTCCACACACACAATTTCCCATACTATTAACATCTTGCATTGGTGTGGTACATTTTTACAATTGATAAACCAATACTGATACATGATTATTAGCTAAAGTTCATGGCTTACATGACAGTTCACCCATTGTCTTGTGCAGTTCTATGTTCTGACAAGTGTATAGCGTTATGGATCTACCACTGTAGTATCATACAGAGGGATGTATTTACTGCCCTGAAAATGCTCTGTGCTCCACCCCTTCCAAAGGTTTTGCATTGTTTTTCAAAAAAATACCCAAATTCCTTACAATGTCCCAAAGGAGCTACATGATCTCACCCTTGTTTATCTCCCAAACTTCAGCTTCCACCTCTGCCTCTCCTACTCGCTGCAACCCAAAGTCACCCTGGCCTTCTGGCTCTTTC